CAGTGTTTCGCTATAAATATTGCATCATCTAGAACATAACAGATTAAATAACATATCCGATGGAGATGTGAAGTTACAGACTATACAAAAAAAAAATTAAAATGTCACAATATTTGTATACCAACTCAAAAGCAAATTCGGTGTGATTTCAACTATAATAGGGTTGTTACGGAGGATATTTTAACGGAAGCGGAAGCAGAGGTCAAAAATAAAATATTAATTGCGATTTATTAAAGCAATAAAAACTGCGATAGCATAATCTGTGGTTACCTTAGACGAAAGTGCAGACTAAAAAATATATTACCGACCTCATTTCCGGTTGGGTATTAGCGAAAAAATGGATACGGTTGTCGTATTGACTTTTACTATATTTCTTTTCTAATTTTACAAGACGCATAAAACCATTTTGTCACTAAAATGCGTTATAGTTTAATTTCCTAGAATTCCAACAACACAAACTACAAATTCCTTCCTCATTTCACTAACGTATTGTTCGAATCGAGTTCGAGTTTTCTAAGAAATTTCGCTGCGGAACAGTAATAAAGAAATTATCGATAAATGCATTTTGATGTTATCACTGAATGACATTATTCCATTAAAATATGCTGTTTTAATTAATAATCCGTATGATAAGATTACTATCATCAATACTATTATAATAAAGCGTAAACACACACTTCTTTGTTGCCTAAGATGTCAGCAATCACAGCATATTTTTGAATATTTTTTTCAAATAAAAACCCTACACTTACGTCAAGCTTTAGGCTATATATTTTCACGCCATTAAACTTAGGTAATTATTTTGTATAAAACCCCTAATTTTGGAAAGAGACCATAAGTTGCTGCCAACATCAAGGAAGCAAGGTTGTCATTATGTCATGTCATTTTGACATTTGCAATTGATAATTTGACACATGCAAACAATAAAATAAAATTTTCATAAATTTATGCGGATGAAGTCGCACGGGAACAGCTAGTTAATGATAAAGTGCATTGTCATTTTTAATTTCAGACATAAATCTTTATTTCTTGTTCTATTGTCGTAAATGTCATTACAATGTTTTACGAATTAAAACAATTTTATTAGCAAAAATGTACAGTCGAGGAAACTGGATGTTCCAACCTTTAAAGCTACAAAAGTTAGAACAATTTAAAACCAATATAACGTAGCTTTTAAACGAATCTACGAAAAAAGTTTCTTTTTATTATAATCCCTTAGTTTGCACTTCATTACCATACGTCCCCACCGAGGTGCTCGGAGCCTACCCTAAGTGGTGACTAGGCCAGTCACGCTGCCCCACTGCGGGTTGACTTCACACATATCTTTGAATTTCTTCACCGATATGCATCACAATGTTTTCCTTCACCGTAAGAACGTCGGGTAAATTATGTACATATGGAAATTCGAAAAATCGAAAATTACATTGGTATAAGATTCGAACCCAAGACCTGTAGATAACAAGTCAAGTGCTTAAACCACTGAGCTAACGACGCCTCGATTACATCTACTGCATCTAATTGGCTGTTTTAAAATGTTTTGTTGGCATTCCGATAAAAATAAATAAATTGAATCGAAGTTTGTCTCGTTGCGAACGATGCATTCCAAAAGTGGGACACCGCGGATTCCCTCCATTGTACATTTTCAACTAAAATACAACAGTTTCGTAATATTGCAGTACCTATGTAAATTTTCGCGCCAATTTATCGAAACTCAAATGTCAAGGTGACAATTATTGCGCTAGACAAAGATGGCGTCGTATTCAATTGTCTAGTTTGTCTAAATAAAACAGATTAGTTTGATGACGCATATGAAGTATCGAATTCAATTTGTATGACGGCAAATGCCGTACTTAATAGACAGGTATCGTAGTGACGAAACACGCAGCTAACTATTATGAACTATCGATATTCGGTTTAAATAATTATCGAACTTAACTAAAATTATTATTTTCTTATTAACTAATTTAGAGGATAATTCTAGTATTGATTATAGTGTAGAGAATTTATAGATGACAGAAATAATAGCGAAATCCAATTCGATTACGTACGGCTGTAGTAGTATTAAACATTTATTTACTCTCATTAGTTGTAATGGTTCTGCAGGTCATTACTAATGTGAGAAAACAGTGTTTTTTTTTAATTCATAAGTTATAAATATGACTCTATTGATTCCAACTTTTATGAGAGTAAAAATCGAAAAGATTCACAACTGATTTTATACAAATCCCATCCCTACTAAATTGTCAAATGAATTGTCAAACTAATCTATCTTATTTAGACAAAGTATAGCTATTCCAATATTCGTTGATCGTCTACAAATTAACACAAAAAGTAAAAAACAACATTAAATTGTTTTTTAAAACCGCATTTATAGTAAATCAATAATTTTTTTATTTATTTGTGACGTTTAGTACTGTTTATTCTCGTTTCTAAAAAACTATAATTAAAAAACAAAGAGAATGCCAAATTTCATCTGTGAATAGATTTACCGCGAAAAACCGGTCAAGCAAAATTATGCCTAATTACGTTACAATTAAAACTACATTCTTAAAAACGAAATATAAACTAAATCAATATTAAAAAGTCATACAAACAATTCTTACGATAAAGCCATACATTTATAAAAATATAGATTCAAATAAAAATAAAAGCAAAAATATAACTCTAAGCAATATAAAAAGATATATGTTTTTAAGCCCTAAGTAATTTGTAATAATCAAAAAAGGCAGTGTTTAATAAAAATTCTCATTTTTATTTTTGGATTTACCATCTGCTAATAACGTAAAAATAACGCTAAATAGCAGTTATAACGTTGAAACGTTTCAAATAACTGGTTGCAACCGCACTATTTGGATATTTATTGTCTGTGTAAAACTGGCGGGAATTGTCTATTTTTTATTAAATTGACTATTTGTTTTTATTATCTACTTATATTATAAAAAAATAAAATGTCTGGAATAAAATCAGATCGGGGGTTGTCAACTTAAGGCGTGCGTTCTCATAGTCACTTATGGAAGTCTTTTTACAAATTCATTTCTTAATTGTCGACTAAAACTGGATTAGTGTGAGAAACTTGATTAAACCATCGCAGAACTGTTTAGTCCCGCTTTGATTCCTACAAGTTATAGTGTACACAGTGTTGACTGCAAAATACAACCTCTTTGGCTGACAAGCAAGTATACAAAAGAGGTTGCATACTCGCCACCATAGCATTTATCATTGGTTAAAGAAAATATATAGAAAAAGAATAAGAAGTCAAGATGTGATCGAGATAGTTTTGAGTTTTTTGTATATGTTGTAAATAAGTTTTGAATAAAGGTGTGTTAGTTTGATAAAAGGTGTTTTGTATTTTTGGCTGCCGCGCTGTCGGTAACAAGTTAAACACACTCGACTTTTAGTTGTGGGAAAACAGTTGAATTGGCTGCGAAACAATCGCAGAGTCGTGCGATAGTTTAATCAAAGGCTCCTAATATCCTTACAGCTAAATTGTTCCTCTTTCTTCGCCTTTTTTACCTGAAACAAAATAACATTTATTAAAAAAATATTTCTTTTATCTATACTATTATAATAAAGCGTAAACACTCACTTCTTTGTTGCCTAAGATATCAGCAATTACTGCATATTTTTGAATAATTCTTTCTTTAATAAAAAGCCCTACACTTGCGTCACGCTTTAAGCTATATATTTTCACGCCATTAAACTTAAGGGGTAAACATTTTGGGTAAAACCCTAATGTAGCAAAGAGACCATAAGTTGCTGCCAACATCATGGAAGCAAACCTTGCTTTGTCATGTCATGTCATTTTGACATTTACAATTGAGAATTTGACAAGTCTAAAGAATAAAATAAGGTTTTCATAATTTCATGCGGATGAAGCCACACGGGAACAGCTAGTCGTAGAATAGAGTAAGGACCTGTCCCAAATTGTAAATTGTCTAACAATCCAACGTGTAAAATATGTGATGGAAAGAGCGGATTAGCGTAATTCGAAAGTTACGATGGATGGATGGATGTTTGTTAGCGTTTGTAGCCTAAACTGCTGAACGGATCTCCATGAAATTTGGCACAGGTTTAGAGCATAGTCTGTCTGGAAGAATACATAGGCTACTTTTTATCCCGGGAATAGTTACGGTTCCCGTGGAATTCATTATGTTTTTTAATGTTTACTCGATCATTCTGCAACTGTTCAACATATCTTATTGAAAGACACAGATATAAAACAAAGTCTGGAGTACACATGGAATAAGGTTCATCCAGAAATGTCCTGTTCCCGAGGGATACGTAGCTTTTTGTTATTTATATAGTTCGTATGTTTACTAATACCACGTGGAATTCGCGGGCAACAGCTAGAATATAACCTTGAAATTGCTGAATTTTATGAGAATTTTTCACTAATATGTAGACAATAAAAGCGCGGGAAAACACTAAAAGTATAATCTTTATTTTTATTTTTATAATACGTATTTATGTTCAATAAAGATATAGATAATAAATGAAATATTTATTATCTATATAATAAATTATCTATGTGTTTAGATTACACTGATTTATTCAGGAAATGTTAAATTTGTCAAATGTACTGATATGAACGAAATACGTTCTGATTCACTTTTTTAAAGGCTTTTATATTCAACTAGTTCTTCCTCGCGACTACGTCCCCGTAAAATTAAAAAAATAACCTATATTTTTCCATAACCTATGGTACTCACAGATAAATTACCTTTCTTGTGGTGAAAGAATTTTTAAAATCGGCCCAGTAGTTTTTGAGTTATTACAATACATGCAAAAATAAAAATCTTTCCTCTTTATAACATTTATATAGACTTGTTGATGGTCCCGAGTTCGTCCGCCTTAAGATTATAAATAAAAGCCTGTGTTACAAATAAATTATCTTCCTAACGGTGAAAGAATTTTTAAAATCGGCCCAGTAGTTTTTTAGTTACATCATACTAATACTCGTATTATAAATGTGAAAGTTTAGATGGATGTTTGTTAGAGTTTGTAGCCTAAACGACTGAACGGATGTCGATGAAATTTGGTAGAAATGTAGAGGATAGTCTGGAAGAACATATAGGTTACTCACTTTTGGTTTTTTTTATTCCACGCGGACGAAATCGCGGTCGAAAGCTACTACAAAAATACAAATCTTTCCTCTTTATAATACTAGTAAAGATAATATGGCATGCTCGTTGGGTACAAACTATGCAATTTATCAAAGAGGCAGTAGGTCAATGGGACGACAAACTGACAAGCGAAGTTATAAATACAATATGAACACTATTTACAAATATCAAGGTACTGCTGTAAAAGTCTACAATAGGTTGGTAAAATCACCGAGGGACTTCATTTTTTTTATAACAAGGTGGCAAACGAGCAAGCGGCCTGAATCCACTGAAATAGAAAACGACCGCTGCCCATAAACATCCGTAATTGCAGCGTTGCCTACCCTTCATTGATAGAGACGCACATAAAGAGGACATTTCCCTTACCTATGCGTCTCCTCCACTGCCAAATCATAGATTCATTACTTAAACATTACTATACTTTCAATTGTCAATTGTTATGGTAAAAATGTAGAAAGCCTTACATAGAAATATCACTGCATACCTTGGCTGACACCGACATCAAAGTAATAATAATTGTACAATATAAACATAACAGCAACAATATGGGATGTTTACTACTTTCAAGGTATTATTTCGTTACTTTTTAGTGTACTGTTTTTTTTTTTGAGAATATTTTGTTTGGAAGTCGGTTTTATTTTTTAAAGTCTGTTCGCATGTTTCTTTAAAAATTGATAAAAAGTTTTTGCCTCATTAAGTATTATTTTTTTTTATAACATAAGGTGGCAAACGAGCAAGTGGCCACCTGAATCCGCCAAAATGGCGAAGCGACCGCTGCCCATAGACATCCGCGATTGCAGATGCGTTGCCTACCCTTATCCGACGGAGGAGGAGACGCACATAAAGAGGATATTTCCTCTTCCTATGCATCTCCTCCATCGTCAAATCCACTTCCCCTTCCCATCCTCTCCTTATAAGAAAAGGGTGGTAGAGAAAGGGACTTAAATTAGGCCTCCGGCACCACACTCATCAGACGAAACACGGCATTGCTTCCATTTCACGCCTGTCCTCTGTGTGGTCGTGGTATTACTGGGGGCGTGCCGACCCTGCAGTGCTAAGATGTTAAAGCGGGCACTACCACTGTAAAAATTAATATTGATTAAAGAGGTTACTAGAAAACTGCGTTAACGTACCGGAAAAATACTTTTATACCGATAAAAACTTTTACATTAACATGTTAAGATAATGTTTTAATATGAAACAAATTTCGTAATCGCTAAATTATTCAAGGAAACAAGTTTTACAATATATGCTGATAACATTAATAACGTTGTTATGTACATAGTATGTACGTAAAAAAATTACAGTACAATATTTACTTCTTTACTATTATAATAAAGCGTAAACACACACACTTCTTTGTTGCCTAAGATGTCAGCAATTACACCATATTTATAAATAATTCTTTGTTTAATAAAACGCCCTACACTTAGGTCACGCTTTAGGCTATATATTTTCACGTCATTAAACTTAGGAGTAAATATTTTGGATAAAAACCCAAATGTGGGAAAGAGACCATAAGTTGCTGCCAACATCAAGAAAGCAAGATTGCTAAGGTTTGTCATGTCATGTCAGTTTGACATTTGCTATTGATAATTTGACAAATGTAAACAATGAAATAAAATTTTCATAATTTCATGCAGATGAAGCCGCAAGGGAACAGCTAGTTCAATAATACAATTAAACATTCTCCTTTGATTAAACAGTGGTAGAGCCCGCTTTAACGTCTTCGCACTGTAGGGCTCGCCCGGTGTAATACCACAACCACACAAGACAGGCGTGAAGTGGAAGGAATTCCGCGTTTCGTCTGATGAATATGGTGCCGCAGGCCTAATTTTAGTCCCTTTTCCTTTTCACCCTTTTCTTAAGTGTGTGGACGGGAAGGAAAAGTGGATTTGACAGTGAAGGAGACCCATAGTAAAGGGAAATGTCCTCTTTATGTGCGTCTCCGTCAATGAAGGGTAGGCAGCGCTGCAATCGCGGATGTTTATGTGCAGCGATCGCTTTCCATTTCGGTGGATTCAGGCCGCTTGCGAGTTTGCTATCTTATATTATAGAAAAAACAATCGCAAAATTGTTGTGCGATTGTCTATTGTTTCGCAGTCAATTTACTGTTAGTTTGAAAAGTGTGCACACTTTAATATGAGCTCGTAGGAATCAAAGCGAGACGAAACAGTTGTGCGATAGTTTTGTCAAAAGTATGCCCGTTTTTGTAAAAAGAAATCCTTAATTATATAATAATAATTATCTCCTGTACAACTAAAGTGTTCTCTTATTTTAAAGTTCATCGGAAACCGGCGGTTCTTATAAAATGAATTTATTACTAACAAGCTGTTACGAATACGAACGATATAAATACGAACTATATAAATAACAAAAAGCTACGTATCCCTCGGGAACCGGACATTTCTTGGGGATGAACTTTATCCCATGTGTACTCCAGACATTGTTTTATATCTGTGCCTTTCAATAAGATATGTTGAACCGTTGCAGAATGATCGAGTAAACATTAAAAAACTGAATTAATGAATCCCACGGGAACCGTAACTATTCCCAGAATAAAAAATACTCTTCATCTGTGCCGAAATTCACGGAGATTTGTTCAGCAGTTTAGGCTACAAACTCTAACAAACATCTAAACTTTCGCATTTATAATATTAGTAAGATAATATTTTAATTGCGACATACTAATTATTTCGATATAAAGGTATAACAAATACCTCTTATCAATACAAAATCCATATCTTAATTTCTACAACTATTCTAATTGAAAAAACACAAGGAAAACGTAAGCATATCAAGAAACACGATCAAATAATTTCTAGATAATTTTCTCGCAACGTATATCGTATGTACACATACTATATCTACGAGTATACTATTATAATAAAGCGTAAACACACACTTCTTTGTTGCCTAAGATGTCGGCAATTACACCATATTTTTGAATAAACCATTTTTAATAAAAAGCCCTACACTTACGTCACGCTTTAGGCTATATATTTCCACGCTATTAAACATAGGGGGGAAATATTTTGGAAAAAACCCTAATGTGGGAAAGAGACCATAAGTTGCTGCCAACATCAAGAAAGAAAGATTGCCATGGTTTGTCATCATGTCATATCATTTTGACAATATCTTACTGATATTATAAATGCGAAAGTTTAGATGGATGGATGTTTGTTAGCGTTTGTAGCCTAAACGGCTGAACGGATCTCCATGAAATTTGGCACAGGTTTAGAGAATAGTCTGGAAGAACACATAGGCTACTTTTTATCCCTGGAATAGTTACGGTTCCCGTGGGATTCATTAATTTAATTTTTTAATGTTCACTCGATCATTCTGCAACGGTTCAACATATCTTATTGAAATTTGGCACAGATATAAAAC